ACCTCTAGGGACAAAGACAGCCTCCTAAAGGCAGACTCTACCTGCAGCATCCTCTCACTGGCAGCACCGCAGGCAGGCAGAGCATTCACAGGGAGGGGCAGCAAAGACACGTCTTTGGAGCTGCCCCCGCAATGAGCAGCAGCCACTGTGGTGGCGGCTCAAGCCTCTCACAACAAGTAAGGCTGTGCTGAGACCAGCAGGACGGCCATTCTTCCCTCTCACAGACTGATGAGCTCAGGCAAGCATCCAACAAGTGATAGCTCAGGAAGCACGTGGGGGGCTGCTAGGTGCTAGGCCTACCTCAGATCACCAGCCCCAGCTGCTGCAGCCCCACCAACTTCTCCAACACTCTTCCCTCACTCCTCTCCATCCTTTGCCCTTCCTCTCTGTCCCACTCCATTTCTCACCCCTTTCCTACCCAAGCCCAGCTCTCGGTTGGAGTCTGCTAGTCCCTGAGTCAGCAATGAATGAAAGGTAGGGGCCAGAGAAAAGTCCACCCCACGCCAGTAAACTCCTGGAGAATCACAGAACCCTAGTCTGACAACAACCTGGGCCTATGTGCAGCCCCCACTGAAAAAAAAAAAAAAAAAAGGAAAACAGGCCCCAAAACGGCCAGACCTATGCTCAAGGGCACATAGGGAGGTAGAGGCAGGGTGAGCCTGAAGGCTACCTCCTGACTCAGCCCAGGGCACCCTTCCACACCAGGCTGCAGTCACATCGGCAGAACCAGCCAGGTTGCCCAGGACAGCCCAGTGTAGGGCAGCCCGCCAACCAGCAGTCAATACAGCCACCACCCTCCTGAAGCTAGAGCAGCTCCAGAATTTCCACATCAAGATGTGCTTAGGGAAGGCATGGCGGAGACAGGGCTTGATAAGTCAAATAACCTGATGGAGAAGAACTGGATTCTGGGGACACACTGCCTGTGTTCAAGCCCCAACTCTGCTATTGATTAGCTGTGTGACAAGTAAGTTACTTAAGCTTTCTGTGCCTCAGTTTCCTCATTAGTAGAATAGGGAATGTTAATGTCTCCCTTATTAAAGTTGCCGAAATAAGTTCATATATACAAATTGCTCAGAGCAGTGCCGGGCAGAGAGTAAGTCTGAGTAAGTGACAGTACTATTGTCTTAACACCAGGATAGCACAGCAATCCGGTGGTTACTTAGGGGTACTGGGGAGCTAATGAGGATCATGGAGGGGCTAAAGCACCACCAGCACCCCTCTTCTCAGAATCCAGCTTGGATGAAGCTCTCTTGGGTCGTGGACATCCTGCCTTGTGACCGGGTCACCACAGAGCAGGGACCAGAGTAGCCTGCTCCAGGAGATACCAGAACACACAGCCATTCTCCTGGTTGCCACCTTCATCCTGTGCTCAGCAACCCAGGCCCCTCCACTGCATCCTCAGCATCCGAAGACCCATCATGCTGCAAGGACTCTGCTCACAGGGTGAGGACCTCCAGGTCCCTGGGCAGGACTTGCCGTTAACCCTGGCCTGTGCAGCCTGACCTCCCCCCAGGACTGGTGAGGGCAGGCCCTGCAGAACTACTTGCCATGCAGAGGGCACCCCTATTCCTCCAACAGCTCAGGGGGCACCAGTGCAGTCAGGGCTCACCCAGTCTTCAACCAGAGTCAGGGCTCAGAGTTCAGCCTATGAACCAGAGCTGGGGGTCAAGCCAGGCAAATGATATGGGCCGACCCTCCACCTGTTGTCCCAAGGTATAGTGGGGCTGAGGGAACGACACCCTACCTATCTGGAGCCCACCACCTGCAATTCCCCATTCTCATCCCAACTCATCCAGAAAGCCTTCCCAAGGGCTGGGCCAGAGCTCCTTCCCCTTTCTGTCTGCCCACAGACATCAGGATTGCCCATTCATGTTGTGCTCTGAATACACACACACACCCCCACCAAGCCCACAGCCCAAGAAAGCCTGGAAATAGGCTCCTATAGTAAAAATAAATAAATAAATATCATTTTTTTTCTTCCCTTACCACTCCAGCTTCCTTCAAACCCAGCCCATCAGGACCAAGAATCCTAAAATTTAAGTGCTGGAAGGCACTGTATGTAAACCAATTCTCATTTCACAAAGAGAAACTGAGGTCCAAGGAGGCTTGGAACTTGTCCAAGCCTGGAAACCAGGTCTCCTGCCCGCAGCCTGTGGTGGCCTTTTCTTCTGCTGGCTGCTCTGAGACAGAGTCCGGTTCTGTAGGGCACACACTCTGAACAATCCACCTTCCCGGCCCTTCCAGGGGAGCTCCCATGTTCAGCCCTGCCGCCACACCCCGAGCACCTCCATCCACCCAAGGCAAAGATCCTAAGCCAGGGAGGGGGCGGCTGACTGAGGTGTCTCCACAGGGCTCCCCTCGGGCTGCTGGGGAGGAAGCATGACTGACCTCGCCTCCTCATACTTCTTGTTGCGGTAAAAATGGCTCTTTTTAATGAAGTAGATGAGCACCAGGTCGCAGAAGAAAGACCCCTGCAAAAGAGTTGGGGTCCCTGACTCAGAACACTTGACTTCTGGAAAGCCCCCAGCCACCTGACACATACTACACCCAGTTTGATCCTTCAACAATCCCTGAACAGGGCATCATTGTCCCCATTTCATAGATGGGCAAACTGAACTCAAAAAGAGGCACCTTTGTTTAAGGCCACAAAGCTGGTGCATGGTAGAGCCCAGGGTAGCCTGGAGTCCATCTGATCCCTCAGGCCAAGCACCTCCCACACTTGACTCTGACCCCATCAAATCATCTCTTTAACAAATGTTGGCTGAGCATTCACTATATGCCAGATACCACAAAGGGGCACAGGGAAGATTAAGACAATGAGACTTTTTGGTACAGGAGACAAGCATATAAATTATGACATAGAGTGACATGTTCTATAATGGGGAGAGGAACAAGGGGAGCCGAGAGAAGACCGGACTTTACTCAGCCTGGGAAGGAACCTCTGAGCTGAGTCCTGAGGGCTGAATAGGAGTTCATACAAAGCAACATTTTAAAAATCTCAGGAAAGGCATTGCAGAGGTAGGTACAAGCTTATCACGCTTGGGAAATTCAACAGGGCTTGTCTGGGAAGAGATAGAGACACTTCTGGAGAAGTGGATGGGGACCAGCCTGTAAAGCTTCTTACAATGTCTTCAAGGCATTGGTCCTAACCCTTTAGGGGGTGGCACTGAGGGCTTTGAATAGGGGCAGGACACAGTCAGAATTGGGGTATCTTAGAGAGATCCCTCTGGTAGTCATCGTGAGAAATGGGTTGGAGGGAATCAGAACAATAGCGGTGGTCAGGGAAAGATGAGGAGGCCTGAGCTAACCCAGCTGGGACCCACTGACACCAGAGCATACATGCTTCAGACCAGAGCGCGTTGTGCAAATGCCCATCTGTTCCACCAGAGGGCGACCCCACTCAAAGCACAGAGGGGAGGAGCGAGGTTTCCTAAAAGACTGAGTAGAGGTTGGGGGAGGAAAGGGGACTGCTCAGGTGAAACCAGTCCTCTAACCCTGGGCTCTGCGCACCTCTTTTTTTCTCGTAGATGCCAAAAATGTTATTTATCAATTCCTTGTTCCACAAAGAAGAGGCAGAATCCAGCTGCATACAGGATTTCTCAACCGTGGCTTACCCCACCCAGCCTCCACCAAGTTTCCCATTACCTTCGTATTACAGGTATGTCTCCCCCATGGCCTGTATTCCGAGTCTACCCACATCATGAGAAAGTGATGAGGGAAGGTGGCCCCTCTCTAAGAGAGTGCCATATGCAAACATATGAGCCTCCCTAACAATGGCTGTTTGCAGTGAAGAGTCGTCATTTGGGCTCATTTTCCTGCACTGACTACCTCTCAAGAGCATGGCCTCTTTGAGTCCTGCTACAGGACACAGTGTTCCTGGTCTCAATGAAAAGTCCACCCCTTGTCCTGCGAGAAGCCTCCAGTGGGGCTGCTGTGGCTACCCAGTCAGAGAGGAAGGAGGGAAGAGGCTGCCGGAAACTTTGGCAAGAGGCTATCCTGGGATGGGTGCAAGCCATCAAGGAGTCACTCACTGACTCCCACGTCTTTGAAAAACTTCCAGAAAAACAAAGGGGAACTTTTCCCTGATCTCCAGCCACTACTTCCTCTCCTGTGAGCTTCTCTGGGCCCAGCCTACGGGACATATCTGAGGGAGGACTACAAGGCTGACGACCCAGCCTCTCAATGGGGGTGATTTTGTTCCAGGGACATTTGGCAATGTCTGGAGACATTCTGGTTGTCACAACCATGGGAGAAGGTACTGCTGCATCTAGTGGGTGGAGATAGGGATGCTGCTGAACACCCTTCAATGTGCAGGACAGTCCCACAAAACTAATTATATGGCCCACAATGTCAACTAAGCCATGGTTAAGAAACCCTGTATACACCTGGATGCTGCTTCCTCTTAGGAAAAGTGAGGATGAGGTTTAAGAAGTTCAAGGGATGATACGGGATCCCAGAGAATCTCAGCTCCAGAGCAGCAGGCAGATGCCTCTCTGCCCCCAGAAAAAGAAATTTGGGTAATCACTGCCCTCTGGAGGCAGCAGGCAGGGCGTGAAGTCCCAGAAACCCCCCTTTACTATCTGTGCTGACCTGCCAGCTCTCATTCTTTCTGGGGCATCAGGACAGCTCCCCTGGGGTGGTGCCCCCTCCTCCACCCACCCCCAAATCCCACCCCCACTGGTGCTCAGAGGGTAAAGGGGAAGGAGGGGAGAGGTACTCACAACACCCATGAGCGCCACCCCCGAGGCCACGTTGATGATTGTGGGGATGATGCTGAACTTCCCTGCCTGGAGCACAGAGACAAGGCGGGGTGAGGGAGGCAGGGCGGACAGCAGGATCCCCAGGGACTCCAACCAGAGCCCTCCCAACATACCCACCCCATCCTGGACCTGCCCAGCCTCCACATGGGAAATGCAGCTCACGTACCCTGCCATTTACCATGACATCAAAGCGGATCCCGTAGGCTTTCATCAGGGTGCGGAATTCCACCCCAGCTTCATTTCGGTAATATTTGGCAAACCTGGAGAGACACGGCCCAGGGGAGATCTCAGCCTGGCTGGATCTTCCCTGTTTGGTAACACTGACAAGACTGCTTGGAAACTTATAAGCACCCCCATTACCTCGCTCACAGCAGCCTCAGGAGATGTTGCAGACCCTCTTGCTGACATTACGCTAAAGTTTCATCTACATTCTCAAAGTCATTGCCAGACATTCCCCAAGAGACAAGAGGCTTCCCACTATATGCTGGACCAACCGGGGGCCACCAAAGCACTGATGGAGCTGATCTGGCAGAGAAGTCAAGCCTTGGAGTCACAGCAAGCCCAGAGCAATGACAGAGCCCCCTGTACTCTTCCAGAAGCCCCCCCAGCGACTGTCCCTCACTTCTCATCTGTCTCTCCCTGCACCTCCCACTCTGACACCCATCCCCAGGAAGAGGTGTCATAGTGCTGGCACCCAGGAGAGGACACAAAACACGGATAGAGTCATAAGGCAGCAGGCCTAGCCCCACTTACCTGAAGTTGTACCCAGAAGAGACAGAGTTTCCTGGAAATTTGCTGTCCAGACGGCTAAAATAATAGCGAGGGTTGCATTCAGAAGGAGCTTTATCAAGATCACAGTCCCACTCAATCTGAATTCCTATTACACCGCCCTTGATGAAGAAGAGACAAGAATCAGTTCAAAGAACTTTTTGGAGATGGACAGAAGTCACAGACCAGCTCTTCATGGAGAGCTGCACGAAACAGGGGAGGTGTTCGGGCCAGGGGCCTGCCGGGCTGGAGCATCCTTCCAGGAGGAGGTGGAAAGCCCAGGGTTCTGGCCCCACCTCTGGAGTAGCTGAGAAAAGTGTGTTGCTGACAGTCCCCAGCCCCTGTCTCCTCCTGCCTCATGCTTCAGAGAAGAAGAGAAACACAGGGGTGAGTATGTACTACAGGCAGTTGCCTTACACAGAGCCAGGATGTGCCAGTGGGGCTTCTTCCAGCTCAGTTTTAGCTGATGCCCCACGGACTAAGAACCAAAGAGCAGGTGCTAAGTGTGCCCCTCACCAAGTGCCCAAGGGCCGAGGGCAGGCACAGCTGGTTGTGCGTCAGAGTTAATTCTGAAAACAAAGAGTCTCTGTGGCAGGTGACTTTGAAGGGCCACCCCACCCATGGGTCTGCCTATACACCCCCTCTTCATTACTGAGCCCAGGCCCAGAGCCATTAGGCCCCAGGGAGGGCTCCCTGAGCACACATCACCCACCTGCAAGGCTATCTCCTGGAAGTTGCTCCCAGTCCAGCTGACCAAAGACCCCAGTCGGAAGATGGGGCAGTAGGGGTTCTTAGGGCCAAATTGACAGGACTTCAGGAAATTTCTGTCTTTGGTGTCCAGCACATTGGTCCTGGGTGGAGGCCGTGAGCAGCCAGTGAAACGAAGGTAGACTTGCTGTTTTGAGGCTAGAAAGTGGACCTGACTCCGGAGTCATGGGGCCCCTCTCCCGGCCCAGGCTGAGTCCCTGGCTTCAGCCTGTCTACTCAAGTCCTGACCACTTCCCACACTGACATCCTACTACATTCAAGAACAGAGCCCCAACCCCACAGCAGGGGCTTCCCAACACCCCAAGAGGTTCATTTCTGTCTTTGGTGTCACACGAGCCCACACACAGCCACCAGGAGGGCCCCACCCCTGATCCCCAGTTGCCAAGCCACACATACTTGAAAAAGTTGAATTTGGGGAAACGAATGAAGTTCTTTATGTAAATGGTAAAGTCTTCAGCCTTGCCCAAGAGTGGCTTCCTAAAACCAAGCCAGGACAGCCTGTTCAGGAAGGCCCACCCCTGCCCCAGTCCCTTCTATGTCCTCCCCAGGCCTGTGGTAGAGCCGAGGACTGCCTGTTCCCTGGGTCCCCTGGAGCCTTAGTCAAGAACAGTTAATTTGTTCATGTTGGGGTAGTGCTCAGGCCTTGTGGTGTGTCCTCAGAATGAGGATCCCAGAGTGGATGTGTCTCTATCATCAGGCTGGGACCCATGGACAGGACTGGGTGACTCCTCAGGGTCAGGATCCACAGCTACTCACTCTGGCCTGGACTTTGTCTCCACTGGGCACCAGGCGAAGATCTCGCAGGTGCCCCTTTGTGTGTTCCCTGCTCGCAAGCAGCGGCCAGTCCTCACTCCTGCAGGGGTGGGACAGGGACAATGCCAGGAGCCTCCCGGCTCCAAGCCCTCTTCTACCCCCAGCCCTGGCCACTCCAGGCCTCACCATTTCCAGTCATAACAGGCTCCCCAGGAGGGCAGTCGCTGTCCTCATAGCACACGGCGTTAGGAATGCTTTCACTCTACCAGAAAAGAAAGGGCGCCTAGGTGGAGGGTTCCCCTGCAGCATTCCCAGGTCAAAGCCAGATCCCACCCCAGGAGTTAGAACAGGGGTTCCTCTTCTTCCTGGGGCCACACACCCTTTGAGAACCTGCTCCTCCCACCCCAACCAAAAAATGCAGCTACATGCACCAGTGCACACATGCCCCAGGGCTCTTGGAGGAGACAGAGACACCTGCTTCTGGAGAAGGGTAAACCCCAACCACTGCGGGCGACTCTCCCACACCCCTCCCCAGCTCTGTGCCAAGTCGAACCTCAGCACAGGTTTCTTGCCGCTGGTTGGGGGTCACGATCAGGTTGGTGATGACGAAGAAGACGTTCTCTCCCTGGAAAACCAGAGATGGGCTGAGGAACCTCCTCCTGACCTTTGGGGAACCCTCCTTCCCAGGGCTGTCTGGCAGGGGTGGGGTCTCTGCATGAGAGTTGGGGACAACGGGGCCTCAAAATCAGTGGGTCCCACCCATCTGCCCACTGACCTCAGAGTCCCTGAATAGATGTCCTTTGATAGGTCCCTTCCAGGCCCACACCCCCAATCTGTCCCTGCCCCACAAATCCCTATTCTGACCTTAGGCCCTGGGGTCCAAATCCAGATCTGGGAGGAGGAGGAACAGTGATGGGGCAGCTCAGGCCCTGGCCCAGGTAGACTGTGAACCAGCTAGGGAGCTAATGCAAGGGACTCACACTGACCTGGAAATTCTCTGAGCCCCACTTGGTCTCAACAGGCTCAGGGTTTGTTGAGAACAGAACGGTGTCATGAGGCACAAAGAGGGCAGGAGTTTGGTGTGGGGGGAAGAATCTGGACAGGGTCTCTATTTACGAGCCCTGGCAGCTCTTCTGGGCCAAGGGAAACAGTGAATGGAGGTCCCTGGGTCCCCAAGCAGCTTCCCATGTGACCCATCCCAGCTAGGCCCTGTCAGCTTGGGTAGGGCTCAGACCTGAGGTGGGATGACGTAGTCAGCAACATCCCAGAGCCGCTCCCCGAGCTCCGAAGTGTTGGTGAAGGTCACGCCCTTGACTTTGGTGATGATGCTGCTCTGTAGGGAGGTGTCGGTGTCTTGGTAACCCTTCTTCACCAGGAACACCCAACTGTGGGGAGGGGCCAGCAAGGTGAGCATCAGCCTTAGTGTTGCCCTCAGGGAAGTTTCCCCAGGCTCAGGGTGGAGTGGGGCAGGCGTGGGACTCCACCTTTCCCACCGGCTTCTGGGCAATCACAATTCCCAATGCTGCCTGAAGCCCTGTCCTGCAAGTAGCAGAGGTGACAAGCATACCCAGAAGTGAGAGCACACTGGGCTAGGCTGGCCAAAACCTGCTCACCCTTGCACTGACCATAGACCATATAACCTTGGGCAAGCCAATGAACTCTGGGGGTTAACACAGGATAACAGAGGCTCCGTCCAGGGGAGTGAGGAGGGTTAAGGGACATTGTAAATAACCTGAAACCAACCATGAGGGGACCTCAGACAAACCCAAACTAAGAGGCAGCCTACACAATTAGAGTGCAAACTCTTGTACTTTTTAACACCCAAACAGAAGCAACAAAAGAAAAAATAGATAAGTTGGACTTCGCCAAAATTAAGAACTTTTAAGCATCAAAAGACACTATTAAGAAAGTGAAAAGATAAACCACAGAATGAGAAAAAATATTTGAGAATCATATAACTGGTAAGGGTCTAGTACCCAGAATACATAAAGAAGTCTTACAAGTCATCAATAAAGAAGACAAATAGTCCAATTTAAAATGGGCCAAGGATCTGAACAGACATTTCTCCAAAAAAGATACGCAAGTAGCCATTAAGCACATGAAAAGATGCTCAACATCATTAGTCATTAGGGAAATAAATCAAAACCACAATGAGATATCACTTCACACCCAATAAGGTGGCTATAATTATTTTTTAAATGAGAAATAACAAGTGATGGTGAGGATGTAGAAAAATTGGCACTTGAGATGAGAATGTAAAATGGTGCAGCTGCTGTAAATAAGTCTGGCAATTCTTCAAAAGGTTATCATGTGATCCAGCAATTCTACTCCTAATTGTATACTCTAGAGAATTGAAAACATATGTTTACATGAAAACTTGTACATGAATGTTCTTAACAGCATTATTCATAATAGCCCAAAAGCAGAAACAATCCAAATGTCCATCAATCCAAGAGTGGTGAACAAAATGTGGTAAGTCCATAAAATGAGATATTATTCAGCTGTAAAAGGACTGAAGTACTGACACATGCTACAACATTGATGAACCTTGAAAATATTATGCTAAAGGAAAGAAGCCAGACAAAAATGGTCACATAGTGTATGATTTGATTTACATGAAATGTCCAGAATGGGCAAATCTATAGATACAGGAAGTAGATTAGGGTAGCCAAGGGATGGGAGTAGGGGAGAACTGACTGACTGTTAACAGATACGGGGTTCTTTTGGAGGTGATGGAAATATGCTAGAATTAGGTAGTGGTGACAGTGTACAACATTGTGCATATACTAAAAACCACTGAACTGTATAATCTAAATGGTTAAAATGGTGAATTATATGCTACTTGAATTTTACCTCAACTTAAAAACGGTTTTAAAAACATCCTGTATTCTTCAAAAAATGTCAATGCCATGAAATACAAAGAAAGACTCGGGAACAATTCCAGATTAGAGGAGCTTGAGAAGACATGCAAGGCACGAACTCAGATTTTCTTTTGTGTAAGATAATTATTGGGACAATTTACAAAAGGTCTATAGCTTAGATGATAATATTTAAATGTTAATTTCCTAATCTTCACACTTGTACTTGGTTAAATAAGAGAATTCCTAATTTTTAAGGAACATACAATGAAGTATATAGGAGCAAAGGGGCATCAGTCTACTCCTAAACGGAAAAAAATGGGTGTATACACACACACAACACAAATGTATAAAATGTTAACATTTGGGGAATCTAGGTAAGGGCATTAAAAAGTTTTTGTACTACTCTTGTAACTTTTCTGTATGTCTAAAATTGTGTCAGAATACAAAAAAATATATTTTTTAATGAGATGGCACTTTTTTTAATGAGATGGTTTAGCACGGTGAATACCTGGCACAGATGAAGAGCTCGATAAATATGACTCATCAACTTATTACTGTTAATGTTAGAGATTGTTCAGGTTAACCTCCCCTTTGGAAAGTTGGGGAAACTGAGGCCAGGACAGGGCAGGCACCTGCCTGAGGTCATTCAATGGTGATGTGGGATACTTTGCATCTCTCAGGGTACCAGTAAGAGTTCTCCATATAGCAGGTGCCAGACAGATTGTATCTACCTTCTTTATCTCTGGGGCAGAGCTAGGCCCAAAATTGTCTTGTCTCTAAGGAACTCGGAGAGGGCTGTGAACCTTGAGCTAAACAGCTATTTTGGTGGGAACACACTGGGCCTGGCCTGGACAGAAATATTCAGCAAATATTCAAGGAACAACATTCATTCTTTCATTCACTTATTCATGTCACATCTATTGCCAAAGCAGTTAGGTGACACAAGGCCCATCCTCATGGCGTCCCCAGCCTGGTGAGAAGTCAGACACAGACATTAAGCAAATGATCTGCCAAACAAACATATAATTACATTGTGGGAAATTGCATGACATGTGGGAGGGAAAGGAGAGGGAGTTATGGGAGATCCCAGGTCTGAAGGGTTGGTGGGAGCTGCCCAAGTAGAGGAGGAAAGGCACCTCCTGGCTCAGGAACAGCATGTTCAAAGGCCCTCAGGTGGGAGAGCCAGGCGCTTTGCCTCCAGGTGAGGTCAGGGCTGCTCCATCCCCAATCAGGAAATAGGACAGACTCAACAGCATTTACTGAAGAAGTAAAAGAGGTGCATCTGCATCCCAGTTCTGTGCAGTCATTTCCTCCCTCACTTGTCCCCTCCCTACTCTGGGTGAAGATTCTGAACAGTGTCTGGCTGACCAACCCCAAGTTGCTGCCAGCTCCCGCCAGATGGGTGAGGGGTATGGGCAGGAGCAAAGGGCCACTGGGCAGGACCCCCAGCTGGATAACAGAAAGGCCAGCCACGGGTGGGGTGAGTTGACCAGAGGGACATGCCTGGCTCATGAGTTGTCCTAGCCCAACGCTTGGCACTGAGCTCAGTGATTATAAATAACCTACCCAGTGTGGGAGGCTCCCGGGGCGACAGCTGCAGCCCAGCCCCCTGTATCCTTGCCCGCTTCCCACAGCTCTAGCACTGGGGCCTGGAGGCCTGGAGGAAGAAGCTGCCCTTGGAAATCTTCATAGATTGAGGAACCAAGAAACCCCTGCCGCATTTTGTTTCCTCCAGAGCGGGTGTCCCGGGAGTAGAGGGCCCCCTCAGTAACCCACCCCCCATCCTTACACCCACGGGCCCAGGGAGGGCCTCCTCCCAAGCAGGGTCACAGACCCCAAAACACAGGGAAGGAACACCAAGTACATATAGCCAATTTCCGGACCGTGGAGAGGCCACAGCTGCACGCCCCCGCCCTTCCCGCAAGCCCCCGAGCACTCACACCACCAGGTAGGTCAGGATGGAGACCTGCAGCAGCCGGTAGAGCAGGCCCACCTTCTTGTTCTTGGCGATGACATACTTCTCGGTCTTATAGTCGAACAGCGACTGGTAGAGCCCCTTGCAGCCAGCCTGCCCCATGGTGCTGTCTCACCTGGGCCTGGGGACCGCGCCGCCACGTGTGCCGCATGGGAACCGCCCCTCGCCCGCCGCCTCCGCGCCTGC